GTACCAAAAGCTGTTAATTCAACAAATCACAGGCTGACTCACACTCAGAGACTGTCAGGACTTTTCTGCTTCAGATACCACCTGAAGTTACACTTTGCTTATCACATGCTTACCACACTCCAGTTCCCAAAGCCACCCCCCCACCATGCAGGTCTTACCTGACCAAGGCCATGCCATAGAGCAGTCTAAGTTCATCAGTGCCCAAGCCACCAGTTACATCCATGAGCTTACAGCGTATCAGGTCAGCAGTAGAAGCCACTGCCAGGGGGAGTTCGTTGCCTAACCTAAAGGGCCACAATCCAGCACCATCACAAAAGTCCTTTATACCGATTCATCCCTTCCACCTCACAATCTTGGTTGCTGCGGGACATTCCCACTATATACTGTCTCAAGAGTGCATGAAGAAACCAAATAAAAAGGCAACAGAGACAAGGTAATGTCCATAAGATCCAACTATTAATACAGGGCGTAAGAGGCTAACTAGGGTGTACACAAAACATCTATTCGGTAGACTGTCAATCTACAGTTGTGTGTACACACCTTGAAACCCTCAAACCCCATATCCCTTGTCTGTCTGTCCTTAACCCAACATTAACTGGACGAAGGCACCCCACTCAAACATGTTGGGGGTGGACTAGACTTTCTCCCACTCCCCCTAATTCGAATCAGAAATCCACCTTAAAGTGTTAATCTACTCGTTAAACCCCGACTCAGGCCCTCCAGCACCCTCTACAAGAAAGCAGAAACATTATTTTTTTGGAAGTAAAGGTCAGACCTCAGATTTAACAAGAGGACTGTTGAGACACACCTCTTACTTTTCATCCACAAACGGAATTCCTGTAAAAGCTTGCCTGAGTCTTTCCCCCGGGCAATTAGACGAAGATCTGAGACTAGGGCCTCTTAGGAACTCCACAAAGGAAGAGGTGAAGAGACACCAGCACACAGGCGAAATGTCTAAGCCCGCCTCCACCTTACCTGCTTCTCCACACCGTGATGCGATTCAGCGCATACCGCTGCAATTTATGGTCATCACAGAACAGATAGACCGTCACCTGGTCCCATTCAGCCCTGCTGAGCCAGGCGACCACGATGCTCTGGGCCCATGGTGGCGTCGATCTTTTTTCTTTGATACACTTTCCGTACCATGCACTCCATACTCGATCCATCCCTCAAGAACTCAGACCTAACCCAGCACAGGATTTCCACCAGAAATGGGATCCTTGCCAGGCTCTGGGCCAGGACCTTCCACACAGTCTTCCACTCAACGTGCCACCCTCACTCCAAACCGCCGCCGCGACAATAGCCAATGGAAGACAGTGACGCCGGCTCAAGCCCGCCTCCTAGCGCTAATGTAACCAATCGAAACGTGGGACTGTTCTTATCGTATGGTTACTACGTCCTCGCGGCCCGGAAGTGTTCTTTTCCCAAAGTAGCTCGACCAGCTGCAAGTGCGCAGCCCCTATGTTCCGCGAATTTCTAGGTTGCCGACCAACTTCTGTGCAGACCGGAAAGAGTGTGTTTGGACTGCAAGAAAATATTTTGCGCCCCTTGGCGGGCGACTATGGAGTTGTGATCAGCCGGTGGACTTCCTGGAATTTCGCTTTTTGGTAGGATTTTATTTCCAGGAGTCAGAACATTTTAGATACTGAAGCAGGGCTAAATAGAAAATATGTAATACACAGTTAAGGGGCTGCGGATTTAGCTCAGCAGCACAGCGCCTGCCTGGCAAGCGCGAGGTCGTGGATTCGCTTCCTGGTACCGAAAAAAAAAAATCAAAAAAGAAAAAAAAAAATAATACACAGTTAAGGTCGCCTTTTTGAAAAATCTGGTTTCTTGTCAAGTCCTCAGGGGCCCTGTTTTCTAAATTAATACCATCTTGTTTCTGCAGTAATATGAAGCCTGAATGACTGGAATGACAATTGTTTTGAGATTATAAGGACCTAGAGTTTGGTTTGAGTGTGGCTACTGTGTGATCTTGCACAAGTCTCTGCCCCTCAAGTTATATTTTGTTTGTTTAACAGTTAACAGTTTTTTTTTTTTAAATCTGTACCATGTGGGTTTTACAGTGGTCTCTAGTTTTATTCCATAGCTCAAAATTTTAGGATTTTACTATGCAAGCGTTCCACTGATGTTGGTTTCAGAGGTATACCTTAACGGGTATAGGTCCCCTCACCCCCCGCGTAACTCCTTGGGATTTCAGAGTACTGGGTTGAAAACAGTAGTATGAAGCTCTTCCAATTTTGCAGGTTGGCTAAAATGTTTTTAGGACCTTGCCCAAATCCTCACAGGAGTTATTTCCCGTTTAACCTTTGAGAAACAATGGTTAGGGGCTGGGGATTTAGCTCAGCGGCACAGCTCCTACCTGGTAAGCGCGAGGTTGTGAGTTCGATTCCTAGTTACCGGGGAAAAAAAAAAGAGAGAGAAACTGGTTAGTAGCAGTCTTAGTATTGCTGATAGTGGCCCAGCACTTGGGAAAATAAAGCAGGAGGATCGCTGAGAGTTCGAGGTCAGCCTAAACTACATATCGAAACCATGTCTCAAACAAGCAAACAAAAAACCCCAAATCCAAACAACAACAAAATATTGTTGATAGTGTTTCATTTATACTTTGCAGCAGCAATAAATCACAACTCATTTTCTGTATGTGCTTCTTCAGTCATTTTCTCCTAAAGGGTAATTTGCCTTTGGTTCCTTGAAGGTTCTGTGTCTTTGTCTTGGTATCCCTAGACAAAGACATAGAACACTCCTTCCTTTCCTCTTTCTGGCAAACCACTATTAATCTTTAAGAGTCAAGATCCTGCTGGGCATGGTGGTGCATACCACCAGCTATTCAGGATGCTGTGACCAGAAGACCAAATTCAAGACCTGTGTGGTCGATTTAATGAGATCTTGTCTCAAAATAAAATTTTAAAAGGGACTGGGAATGTAGTTCAATGGTAGGGTGCTTGCCTAGCATGCACAGAAGCCCTGGGTTCAAGCTCAAAAAAAATCTGAATCCTTTGTCAAATCCAATTTTCCCAAGGGATTCATTCATGAATCTATAGGAGTCATGAGAAAGTATAAAGAATTTGCAATTAGCTGGTACATCTGTCAGACCCTTCTCCAAATCCTCACAACATTTTGTACATCCTTCTGCTGGAGGAATAAAGAAAAACACTTGTTGATTGCCTACCTTGGACCAGTCCTATTCTAAGTGCTTGATGACAGTGAGCTTTATCTGAGTTCTCACCTTCAGGAATGCAGCCAGACTTGAGAAATCCTCCCAGCCTTTTGTGTTCCAAAACTAGCTCATTCCAAAAGACCACATTACCCTTTAATGTTCCTTGACATAAGACCCTCTCCATCTTTCTTCATGACTCACCGAAGACTTGTGGATGACTCCCTTGTTCACCTGTTTCTAATGAAACTTTTAAGTTTCCTTTCTTTGGGCATTCTCCCTATGGCAATAGTCTGACTAAAATCGTTTCCTTAATTACCTTCTATATTTTGCCTTTTCACTGAAGTTGACTTCATTTTCATTAGTTTACAGATGAGAAAGCTGAAGCTGAGCTGTAGGGCCTAGGACAACACCGTTAAGAAGGGAAAAGTGATTTCCTCACAGGTTTGTGTAGCCATAAAGCCTAGGTGGTGTCTACAACCTTCAAACCCAGGGCAGTTTTACCTGTCTACAGGCATGCTTCATATTATGAGAGCTTCTTCAAGAGTGGGAACCCCAGCACTTAACAGTCTTAAGCCCCAAATGATTACTGAATAAATCATAACACCCACTAAGGCAGTGTTTCTAAAACTTTCTTTTTGATAAATAAAAAGAACTCAGCCCTTTTTGATAAATAGAAAAGCAAAACAAGACATAGTTTATGTGAATGGCTGAAATGCTTGGCCAAAGGAGACTGTGAGATCCAAGGAAACAGGTCCTCTGAGGAATTTCAAGCTTGATGATGGTGATGAGGTTATGTTTCTTCAAAAAGTGTCAGCCTTCCAAATCCCTAAAGTGACAGTTTCCTCAGAGAAGTAGAAAACTGTGTTAGTAACTTTGCTCATTGCTGAGACAAAATACCTAACACCTACAAGTTAAGGGAAGAAAAGTTTATTTAGCTGACAGTTTGTAGAGGTTTCAGTCTATGATCAGCTGGCTCTAAGGCAAGGTGGCATAGCAAACAGGAATCACAGAGGAAAAATAATTCATGGAGGACAGAAGGTAGCAGAGCCAGCAAGAGATAAGACAAGCCTCTGTGTGTCCTTTATATTGTAGATTTTTTTTTTGTCTTTTTTTTGAGGCAGGGTCTCACTGTGCAGTTCAGGCTGACCTTGAGCTCACTTTGTAGCCCAGGCTGGCCTCGAACTCGCGATGATCCTCTTGCCTCAGCCTCCTGAGTGCTGGGATTACAGGCGTGTGCCACCACGCCCGGCTTGTCCTTAGGCTTGTCTTTAGGATTAGGGTGGTGCCAAAGCAATCACCGCCCCAGCATCACGCACTGTAGATTCAGCCATCTCTGAAGAAGCCCCACCTATGACCACATGAGAATTTGGGCTGATATTTAGACCCAAACCATAACAATAACCTATTTAATTTATCGTATCTATTGTTCTATCCAACAGAACTTCAGAACCAAGTGCTGGGAGTTGATAACCAGCTAATACATCTCCAATTAACTGCCTGTTTCTATTGTAGAATCCTCTGTAGAATCATAATATCCTAATGAGGAAGCCCAGCAGATGTCATTTTACCTAGTTTCTGTCCTAATTAGATTGTATCAGTGAAATGAAGACCTGTGCCTTCTTAAGGATTTGTTTTAGATGCTAACAGTGCTCACAGTAATTAGTTGTTCTTGTGTAGCAACATTTATTTCACCTCTACCGATGTGGTCAACAGCATTATCAACTAAAAATTCTCACTCAGCCCCTTAATCTCCCAGAACAGGGCCTCTGTTTCCATCTTCAGAGGATGTATTCTTCCCTAAAGTACAAATTAGCTGAGAGAAGATTTTAGGACACATATCAATACTTTTATAAGGCAGTAAGTAGCTTTCAAACTTTTTTGGATGCAGAGTGATTGTAAGAAATACATTTGTTGTGGTTGATACATTGGGTCAACGTGAGGAGTCTAGAGGCTTGGCTAAGTGACTCAGCAGTTCTACATCCTGGGTTGAAAAGGACACACCCTTCCGGTTTTAGAATGTCCTTCATTGTGTCAGTGTGAGAAGTTTAGAAGGTTAACTAAGTGAGTGGGCAGGGGGCCAGGATGATACTTTGTATCATCCTGAGCCTGTGCATGAGGAGGGCGGGGAGATGAGGTCTCAGTTTGATTCCCGGTACGCGGGGGGAGGGGGGGGGGGCGACGACAACGACGACGACGAGGACAAAAAACAAACAAAAAAACAAATCAAACTTCAAATTCTGACCTTGCCTTTATCTGACCATAAAGGGCCCAACCTTTGCAGAGGTGGTGTTCTTCTTTACCTCATTAGCAGTAAACTCATCTTTATCTAATCAATACAAGGTAGTGGTGATATTTGGGGAACCAGCTTTCAACATACTACAGAAGGCAGGATTTATTGAAGGAAAACTTATAAACAAACAAAAGTAGTGAAGTCTGCACAGTCTTCTGAACTCTCGTTTCCTAACATAGGCCAGTCATAAGTTCCATATGAATCACAGTCAAAATTCCAGGAACTATGACCTCTGGTTAGCAGGCCAGCTGTATGATTGTAAGTATTCCAAGAAAACCTGAGCTTCATATCCACACTGGGAAATTGAAATAGGTAACATCTAGTTTCTTTAACAAGAAATGTACCAATGATCTCCCAGATCAGGAACACTGCTAGGGAGTGTGCACCCCCAAGGGCAAGGTCTGTATACAAAGGGCCAAAGAAAAATCCTTGCTGCCAGGAAGACTGACATTAGCCAAAGGCTTTTTCCTTCTATAGCTGGCTCAGTCTAAAGCAGCCAGCTCTCAGCTGAGTTGCTGAAAAAGGGAAGGAAATGAAGTTCCAGGACCAACTAGACATGTCTCTCACGAATTGCCCCAGAAGTGATTCCACAAATAACCACTGGGTTGCAACCTATAGTTTAAAATAGAGTGTTCACACTTTTAGGGTGATTTAATATGTTCACTATTTCAACTGTGGCCATGGTTTCTCTAGTGTCTACACATGTGAAAATTCATCAAATTTTTTCCTCCTTTCCTTCCTTCCTTCTTTCTTTCCTTCCTTTCTCTTTCATTCTAGGGATCAAACCTAGGCCTTCAACATACTAGGCAAGTGCCCTACCACTAAGCTACATGCCCCAGCCCAAATTTTACACATA